ATTATGATTTTAATCTATAGATTATAAGAACCGGCGGAATTACATTTAAATTATTAGTTTTCTTTATTAAATTACTGCTTTTAATGTCATTTTAACAAATGCAATACGCTAATACTAATTAATAATTAATATGATGATTATACACAGAGATATAATACATTTGTTTTGAAACTAAACTTACATATTATGTATTTTATTTATGGCAAAAATTATTTTAACACTTGTCATTATTTATTGTCTGGAGTCAATAATTTTGTAAGACCTTCCTCCCTCCCCCCATCAGATTATTCTGGTACTGATCCTGTGTATACCAGAGCGGTACTCACATATCAGTATCTTCACTATTTATGTTGATATGGTTCATGATCTATGGAAAAATTAAAAGCAGGGTAATCTAGATAGGTATATATCTAATTATATTTGGCCTGCTGAAATATTGCACACCCATAACAAAACTGAAATGGTACCTATGCTTAATGCAACAAATGTATTAATGATTTATCAAATAAAAATTATATTATGTACTTGTAACTTAAAACAGTTCCTAAGTATGTTAGAGTAACCAGCAATTGTTTTTCAACATCAAACTCAGTTCTTTTATAAGCCATACTTCCATATTCTTGCATTAAATGATCGCAAACTATCTAAGAAAAGAATTTACACAAAACACTTGATATGTAACTGACGTAATGAGAATGTGTTCCATTTGAAATATATGAATTACTTGAAATGAACCACGGGTAATGAAAAATTGAGTTTTGAAATTTGATTCTTCTAACTGTGTATATTGTAAAATCAATGGAAGAATAGGTGATGACACTTTTTTGTCCCGGTGTTGATCTGTGTCCTTGTGTTCACCTGTGTCCTTATGTTCATTTGTGTCCTTGTGATTTTTTCCATTATTAGCTTCCAGAAGCTTAGGTGGAGATTGACATCTATCATCTTCTGTACATGATAACATAAACTCAACTTCTAACCGTGAGTTTATTATCTTGGAGTGCAAAATTGTGTTGAGTAATTTTTTACTATCTAAAAACATAAATATCAAGTTATTAGTTAAGATTGTTGCTGCTTGTAAATGGTATAGGTAGCCAATATAAATATTTATACATACATTATATATAAATATATGTATATATATATACCTATATTACCAGGCGATTAATTTAGTACCTAGATTGATTTTTGTGATGGCTGGTGGTAACGAAGTTTGAAATATATTCAGCGTTGACAACCATGTCATACCAAACAAATAGCACAGTTAATGACAAAAGTTGGGAGAATAAACAAATTTGTATTGCTTTTATTTAAATAATTTTTTTAAATCTATGCATAAACTAAAACCAATAAGTTGAGTATCATCTCATTATTAGCACAATAATTTATTTTATTAATGTAGAATGTAATGATCTCAGTCGACTGATAAACACAAATATAACCACCGGTATTTTATAGTTGATTCGAATGTTCGATGCATATTATAATATTTGTTTTACACATAATATGTTATTATAAAAAAAATAATATGATACATTTCAATAGGAAGTAGTTATATTAAAATGTTATTTGAGTTGAATGATTAAAAATATGTAAATAATATGATTATTTGGAATTTTACTTTCAATTATTGATTATTAACAGCTAATCATAGTTAAAACTTTAAAACCTATAATGTAAAATATTATTTATAATTAATTTAAAAGATTAGTTAATGGTCTGCGTACAGATACATCACTTTGGGTACCTTTGAATATCTTAACAGATATAAAATAGTTAAACATTTAAAGTATTAATTAAACATATTTGTTAATTTTTCTAGTATCTTGATACAATTTTTATTATTATTTATTTTATGCATATCAAATAAATTATAATTTTTATTTCTCAAGAATTATTACATTTATTTCAAGGGTAGCCTACACAATATAGTTGGGAGATAAGTATAAAGAAAAAAAACAGCAGAAGGCGGGTAGTATATTTAAAACATCAATTAAAGAATGTGATTAAAATGTATTTAATATAATAACAAATCACAGTTCTGATCAAGATATATTTAAACACAAAATATTGTAAATTATCTTTAAAATATACTGTTATGTTTTGGAATGTAGATCTTTTTCATAGACAAATTAAAGCCAATGCTGTATCTGAAGCAACTTGTTTATGCAGATGAAATAATTAGGAATTAGATGTTCAATTTATCTACAAATAATGGTTTATCATAGCAAATGAAATAAAAATGAAACATAAAATATTCATATTTCAGTTGTATTTTTAAAATACATAGAAATCAATTGACAAATGTTTATAAAAAAAAATATATATAATATTTATAATTAATACTATACTGGGGATAACAAGAGGTTTATTATTTTAATAAAACACTTTAAATATCAAGTATACTGTTTACCTAAAAAGAAAACTTAAGATAGTATGGGCATAAAAATACCGTTACTTAAACTTTCATTCTTTAAATTTAATTCTATTAATTTTTTTCTTTAAAGTAAAGTATACATAAATGGAATAAGTAAAAAAAGTAAAAAAGTAAAATTGATAAATTATCACAAAATATAAAAATATCACATAGGTTTTTTCAAAAGAAAACAATAATATTATAATAAAAAGTATATGAAAAAAGTGAGACCAAATATTCAGTTTTTATAATATTTTGCGCTAGGAATAGAAAAAAAATTTTATGTCGCTTAAATTTAAATTTAAAATTAATCAAACCAATTTAAAATTTAAAATATATATGCTAATATTAGTTATTATTACATCATACTTAATTTTAAAACTATTCACATTTAAATCATTGATTTAGAAATATTTACAATAATTAAACTAAAAAATTTAATAGAAATTCATAAATTCCTTATGGTAGAATAATAGGTAAGCCGGACTTCTCAATATGTCTTCAAATTGTACTAATCTAACAACATTATCATTGCATTGATACCAAAGACCCATGTGTTGTATGTAAGATAAATAATGTCCTCCATTTAGTAAACCTTCATGACAAATCACAGCGTACAGCTTATAGATGGACTCACGTGAAGCAAAACACTCATCAATGAAGGCACTTCCAGTTACAGATTTTTTCTTTATAAATTTATTCATATCTAGTGTTTCTGGGAATTCAACAAATGTTGTAATTTTATTAGAAACATTGTCTGATGGCTGTCCAAATCTTTTTAAAATAAAACATAAAACCACCGGCAAATGTTTTAAAATAAGCTGTTTGGTCGATAATTTTTTTGTTTGGCAATTTGTGCAATCTAAATCGTTCAACAACTCAATTTGTCCAAATTGTTCTAAACATGCAATTAATGTTATATTCGTTGGATATTTTCCTTTTTCATCCATTGAAAAGTATATAGGAATATCATTGATTATGTCAATTTTAGATGACACATTGTTACAGCTCTGGCAAACAATGTCACTTTGCAAAACACCTTTAAAAATTTTATGGATGATACACTGGCAGTTTTCCAGGTGTTTTATATCTTTGTCATTTTCATTTTGTATTATCGTCTGTTTATGTATGATATCCAATATGGCTATGAAACATTCGTGTGCATCATGTTGTAAAGCTGAAGCCATGTACCAAGTGTTATCCCAAAATATTTTTAACAATTTTTGCAAGCTAATTACATTTACTTGTAACATGTAAGATTGTTGGTATATTCTGCCAATTTCACATGTAATACATCGACTGGGCTCCTTTAAAAATGGGCATACGTGTTGATCAGAAAGAACATAATTTCGTAACATTGGTGTATGCATTAGTACCTGCAGCACACTGTTTAAAAAACATGTATTACCCAAGTTAATGAATCCTGGAACTGGAGTAGCACTATCAATATATTCAATTTCTTTACTTTTTCTAAGCAAGATAATGTCTCTTGTTTCTAAGGATTTATTTCTATAACAATACAAATCCTTATTCAATGTGTTTGCCAAAGACATAATTTCACCATCATAGGTATAGTCATCACAGTGAGTACAGAAAATATGACCAAAGGTAAGGTTAATACCAAAACAATGATCAGTTTTCTTGAAGTGTTCAAGAAAGTGCGCGGGACATGCAAAATACACACAATATAAACATGACAATAATCGCGCACCTTCAAAATTACACACACAACATGATGCCACTTTTTTTTTAGCACGTACTAAATCATTAGACTGACTGGATATAAAGTTTAAATGAACAATACGATAATTTTTCAATAATTCCTCATTCTTTCTTTGGACCAAATGTTCACAACCAATAACTGAATCCATTTTAAGATAATATCGATAAACGTTTAAATCAATAACTTACTATTGATGTTAGCTATTCTCATTGACTGGCTTAAATGCACAAAGTTGAACAATTCTTTTTTACTCTGCCCCAACTCCAACAATAAGTATTCAGATAAAATGTCATCAGAACTTTTATCATCTAATATTTTGTAATCTGTAAAAATAAAGATAATGTGAGTTAAAGATCAATTTCAAAATAGTAAAACGTTTTAGTAGTTTATTTAGAAAATTAGGCATATGGTTAAATATACGAGTAGTTTTTTCAATAATTTAAATTTTTTGCTTATCCCATGAAGTGTTTTTAAGCTGTATTTTATTTGTTTGAGATATGTAACTTATAATATATAATACTGAAGCCAAATTTATTTTTATTTCTCTTGAGATTCGATTTATTGAGACTCAACTATATTATATAGGTATTAAGTATAAAAAAACCACAGATATAAAGATAATAATATGTACATTAATAATTAAAATAATTTAWKGACATTGGCACTGTWTTTGATTTCTAAAAATATATTTTTAATTTACTGATTTTATTCTGTTTCTGTTTCATTTAAAATTAAAATGAATATACTTGAAATAAGAATTAGCATTAGATTCATACTAACAACAAAATATAAACTTCGGTAATATTTCTAAGATAATAGTACAACTGGCAAATGGTAAAAATTAGTTAAATACAATAATATAAATATCAATGTACTACCTAATCAAGTCACCTTCAATATGAAAATTCTATGATAATTAGCATGAATGTGTATTAAAAGGTTTTAAAATAATTAGTATCAGTGGCAACGAACCTTAGGCTAAGTTTGGGCTATGGCCTGATATTTTAAAATTTAGAATAGGACTGCTTCATATTGATCAMTTTCTTTTACACGATACTCCATTTTTGCTGTTATTAAGATATTGGGCCTCTTGAAATATTTTTCTCCCTGATAGAATTTTAGGACTTTAACGCCATTGATTAGTATAGTTTACATGAAAATATTATCTGTCTGCATAGTTTAGATAGGTAACAATCTAATTTCATAAATTCATGAATTAATAACATTTATTATAAAATTATGTTAGGTACCTATTAAAATGGAATATTTGTAATAATTTCACAAAATTAATTTGATTGATGGTACAGCTTTGGTTGTAATGAAGACGACTTTTACTCTATAGAGCAAATAGATCATGAGATTATGGGAAAGGTCAAATTCTTTAAAGTCTGTAAAATGCAATAACACTGTGTACAAGATAATAATACATCTAAAGCATACACATGATTAATGTAAATTATTAATGTACACTATAGAATACCGGTGAGAACCTTAGAAATGAAACTCATGCAGAATTCAGATTGCTCTTATTAGCCTGAAAAGTGGCAGCAACACACTTTAAAATAAATAGCAATAACCATAGTTTTTTCTTTAGGACTTATAGTTTTGTAGTTACGTAACTACACCAGCGAACGAATTCAACTCGGTGGTTGTACTTACCCGCTATCGACTGTTGCTGCGGATCGACCACCGCACTTGCTTCGGTAGTATGATAGACGTCGCCGCATCCAGACAATCTGTTTCCGTCACTGTTGTCGGACATCACATACACCCTTGAGTCACGAAAGGCGCGCGCAGATCGCACAACTGGAGGAAGCCAAGCGCAAGAGGGTGGAAATAAAAAAACAGCCGGGGAGAAGACGCAAAAAATCGAGTGACTAAACGTACACGGGTACACGTCGTACACAAACCGGCGGCGACGTTGATTGTTATCACGATAAACAGCTGTCTATCCGCGTGCCAATGTTATTATAATTATTATTGTATGTGTAGTATGCTCAATTTTCTAGCTTATTCAAACGAATGTATATATATAATATATAGATAAAAACAATTATTATTATTATACGTTAATAATAATCTACTATTACTTTGATACGTCACACGAAACATTTACAATAATATTAATAGTCTGCAGTAAGAGCCAGTAATATTGTTTGCTGCCGTAGAGAAGAAATAGAGATAAGCCCATATTATGGTAATAAGTAATAACGCGCAGCCACGCGTGTGCGGGTGCCGCTGCCGCCGCTTGTCAGCTGTAGCTGCTGCTGCTGTTGTTGTTGTCGTCACTCGTCGCATAAAAATACTATGAAATTCCTCTGAAGTTCGAGGGAAAACGGCAGCGGCCAGCAGCAGCGACCGTCGAAAATCACGAAGAAAAATAAGAGAAAAAATAACCGTTTCGTCTTCAACGGAGATAGGGATATTTTGTTCTGTAAGCACTAAGCAGTGTAAGAGACGAAAATATCGTTAGCCACGGCCGATTTATTTTTAAATCCGGAGGATACCGCAACTACTGCCGTCTCATCCGCCCCTGCGACCGAGAGCGGACGTCGTCCGGTCGTCTTCACTATGCTGCCGTCCCACCACTGAACCACTCCTCTACCGCGGTTTATCGCACGGCTGATACCGCAGACACCTCCGCCGCCACAACCGCAAACACCGACTGGAGGGGACGACACCGTACGCATTTGTTTTGGTTCATCGTTTTTAATCAGCCGCCGCCGCCCGTTCAGTGCGCGTATTGTGATAACACCACTCGATTTTTCCGACGAGAGTTGTTTCTCTAACGCGCTGTAGTAGTTACTAGGTAGTTGTAGTAGTTACTTAGTTGGAATCGAAATCGAAAACCGAAACGTGTAGGTACGCAAGAATATCGTCGGTTTTTGTCGTCGTCGTTGTCGTGTTCTGCTGTCCAGTTTCGGTTGATATCCATATCCATCTGAAGTTGTTGGTCAATTATTTTTTTCTTGTCTGCTGACCAATCCATAATACCATTCAGTTGTTTGGTTCTCAAGTCTACTAACTGAGCGCCGAGTTTTTCCATGGTAATCCTTTTGCACCGGGTAGGCTGACAGTTTTCCACGTCTAAGTTGGTGTTCCCTGGTGCTTGTCACCAGCAGGCTCTACTTGTGGTGCTCAGTGAACCTTGGTTGGTTTACCTCAGACATCCATAGGCTAATCTAGGTTTTTTTTTATTGGTACTTAAACCTTTTCTTCATTTTAACCATTCTTAAAGCTAGTGTAAATGGGCACTGATAAGAAAATCAAGTGTAGTATATAAAGAATAGGTATTTGTTTGTTAAATGGTTAGTTTGGATTGGTTTTCTTTCCAGTAACTTATAAAAAAACGTGTCAGAACAATTAAAACTTTATTTGACACCTTAATCTCTAATAGCATTCGTTTTATACTCATACAGTTCACTAGTATTAATTTATTTATCTTGTTTAAGTAGGTAGTATAATTAGTTATTCATTGTACTTCAGTATATAATTTATTTCTAAGTATTTCATGTATTTTACATTATTTGTTTTRCTTAAATATTAAGTACATATGTAAACTAATTAGATGTACCTAGAACTTTTATTGTTAAGTTGTTAATTTGTAAATAATTTGTGACATAAAATTATGTTTTTATGATTTCTCTACCATTTCCATCTAAACTTATGGCTATCAACAAGCATAAGCTAAATGTAAGTATACATGTTTTGATAACATTACTTCATTAATGTTGTTTTGTGCTTTATGAAAAATTGAAAAGAACATATTACTTATGATTTGTCTCTATCAATGTAATAAAATATTAAAATTAGTCATCTGTTTTTATGTTTGAATCATTGGTCCTGTACAATTTGAGAATTAGCTGTTTTCATTGGTGTTAGATATTGGCATCAATTGATATGTTATATATATCGCTAATTATACTCTCGATAGTCTAATAGGTATATAGTAATGCTCTTGCCAACAGCACATTAAGACAATATTTTTATTTTAAGCATCACCTATCAACAGCCTGTTGTCATGATATATGCATTTCAAATATTTTGATCTGTATGGCAGGATACCAGTTTTCTTTAAAAAAAAATTAACGTTTATAATTTTCAATAAAATTTCAATACTCCTTCTTTGAATACTTGAATGTTTTTGCTATAGCCTTAAGGTCTCGAGAAATGTGTAGGTATAGTGTAAATACTGAGCACCCACAAATTGTTTGTTGATTCAGTTGGTGCTACAGCGTGACTAGCCCGATTTACACATCTACAGGACAGGTGCTATGTACCCACTAGTAGTTTTTTTTTTCGTACCAAATTCATTATATKCAAATATACAAATTACCCATGAATATTAAATATTTTGTATACTATCTATTGGAAAAAATGAAATATATGTTCTCTTTACAATTTAAAATGTATAGATATTTTTTTTAATGGCTAAATAAAAATTGTTTCTATTTAAATATTAAACTTGCTAAACCATAGTTTTTATTTAGAAAAATATATTTTATTTTCAATTTTGAATGATTAGATTTTAAATATACAAATTTCCAGCATATTTTGTAAAAGTTGTGTTAGTGTAGAAGATTTGTCTAATAAGTATAAATAAAATAATGTTTTTGATGATTATTGTTGATCAAAAACGAGGAATATCTTAGAATACGATGTATCTCCATTGTCATTTTTCTGTACCCAGTTATAAATGTTTGTAGTTGCTATACATTTTATACCTAATAACATAGGTATATTATAGTATATTTATATATGTTGGAGACGTTGGAGTATACAGTTATGTTGTTTTTGGATACATTTTAGAAAAATATTAACCATACCACTGTTAAATTTTTCCTTTTAATGTTATTTTGATTCCCATTTCAAAAGCTTAAACTTTGTAATCTATTTATCAGCAATTATCTAAAATTGCAAATCAACTCATTTGCACTATATAACTAAAAAATGTGTTTAATGCTATTATATTTGATTTAATATCTATTAATATCGTTTTAGAAATTAATATTAATATTTCTAATCAATATATTTTATATCCAATTATCAATATTATATAAATATCATGTATCTATCTATCTATCTATATATATATATATATATATATGTATATATATTTTTTTTTATAGAGAGATGTCTCATACGTGCGTCATTAGCCCGACAATGAGAAAAAAAATAAAATTGGTAAGTGTTTAATATTATTTTTTAGATTAGATAAAACGAGTAAGTAGAGCTCGTTATGTAGTTTTATCTCCATTAGATAAACTGAAAAAAATTAAGGTAAAAAGTACGCTTTTTCGCCGAATTGATCGCCAGATAGCGCGATAGTTTACATACAATAATAATAAGGATGATAAATAACAAATTTTTTTCCGTTTCCGCTACAGCTATTGGCTATAATATTCTATTTGCATGTTGTATTGAGTGTGAAATTAATGATAATATTATAATCAAAAACTTATCTTGGTTGTTTAAGATTCTTAAAACAGTGTAATTGAAGTTTTTAAGCTTTTGAAAACGTCAATTAAAAAATCTGAACATTAAACAAAAAATATAATATATTATATTATTATAAATTTATTTTCGTTTGAAGTTTAATCAGAAATAAATGTGAAATTGTATGACTTGTTGAAGTATAGCGTATGGTTGATGAAGAGGGGGACTGTGGGTAGCTTAATGCTTACACTATTTACACAATTTTGTGGTATCGCCTAAGCCTGCCAACTCAGTTGTGCGAAGTATTGAACCACTACCCGGAAAATTGATACTTTGCCAACCAAGTCGAAAAATCGTGAATGCGATCATGTGAGTCACTTAAAAAATAGTTAACATCTAGATAAATCGAAATTCCACGTAAAATAGAATGTCGAGTACCTAAATGTAAACATGTAGGTATAATAATTGAAATTTTATCATAAAACATATAGCTTATATATCGACTTATAGACTCGACCGGTTAAAATTATTTTCTTCACGAACCAAATAATACATTTAGTTTAGTCAATTTAAAATGGATATGATTTTACCTATTTTTAAAAACTTATCCGAAAAAAGGTTAAAGTAAGGTACTTACTTTGCTTGATCTAACAGTAGATGATGTATAGTTTACTTCTTCATTAAGCAAGACATTTAAATGTCTGTGTTCAATTTAAATTCAATGATAAATCATTGCAAACGAAAAATGACTCTAAAGGTAGATCAGAAACCTTTAATATATCATTTAATATAACATGTCTGTCAGGTTATATAATTAAGCATCTTTTATAAAATATTTGTATTGTTTTAAATATAACTAATATATAGTAATGAATTAATAAAATAAAATTATTTAATTGAAAATTTACTAATTCCTCAGTTGTTAAAAATTTATAAAACCCTTAAATTGTATAGCTAAGGATTGAAAATTTAAAACAAAGTTCCATGTAATAGTAGTTTATACTGCTGCAAAAAAATCTAAAATCTATTCAAACACAGTTTTTTTTATAGTTAAATATTTAAGTTCAAATTTGGATAAAATTACATATTCAATAATATGGGTCTGATGACCCTACCTAAAATTTTTTTATTCCCGATAAACAACAATCTTCTGATACTTATCCCGCTTCCTTCGCTGGTGGATTTATGATACCTATAATTTCATTCTATTCAGACACTTAATATTTACACATTACACACAAGACCAACTATTAAATCCCTAAAATTGGTTCCATTTTTGGAGAGTTAGATTAAAAGTACAAAACTACAAAACCAAATCTATTCATACGATATAGGTACCTTAAATTACGC